TCCCCTCTAATTGTCCACGACGACACAGACGCCACGCGGGCGCGCGCAGTGCAGCGAGGGGGCTGCTGCAGCAAAGTTGGCGCGCGGAGTTGGCTGAGAGTTGATGCAGAAAAATACACAGTCGTTACACACTTCTTCCCCGCGACCAGCACCTTCTCTCTGCCTCAGAGCCGGGCCGGGTGCGCCGGGGCAGAAGGTCACACGACGTATTCCGTCCGTGTCCCCCAACCCCTCCGCCCTGCCTGCCTGCCTGCCTGCCACCCCCGTTGGCCGCGAGCTCTTTGACATACAAGAAGTCATCCTGGCGACCCGACCCGACCCGCGTCGGCAGAGCGTTAAAAAGGACTGGCAGCCCCGCCACGCCCCACCCAGCCGTACTCCGTTAATTAGCCCCAGTCTGAGTTGGATCCACTACAGGAGTGGAGCTGGTGCTGCTACTTCTGCCGCTGTGTGACGTACGGAGGCCCCTCGCTTCCCCCTACCTTACCCCGTAAACCTCCCCGCCCCACCCATCTCCCTCTTCATTCTCTCTCTCTCTCTCTCTCTCTCTCTCTCTCTCAGACTCAAAACGCGCGGGTCGCGCTTGCTGCTGGGCTGGCCCTGGCCCACGAAGCCTGCTGGAGGCTCCTCCAGCCTGCACGTAGAAGCCGCACGGAGCTCGTGGGAAAAGTCTTCATCATCTAGGGCGGGCACCGCGGTCGCCCCAAAGGGGCCGCGGGGCAGGGAAACGGGGAAAGGGGGGAGCTCGGACGGAAGGCTCATAACCCACCAATTATTTATACGTGGGTGAAAACACTAGTGGTCAAGACGACGTTTGCCTACAAAATTCTTTGGGTCAATCGCACCCTTGTATGGGTGAGTGACCCCCAAAAGTGGGTGCGATGCGGAAAATCTGGGATACCGCTGCGGGAAACAGACGCGCACGCCAACCACATCTCGCACACCGCAAGCCACGTGCTGCGCCGGGCGAGGGGCGCGCCCGCGAGCACCGCGAGCACCGCGAGGCGAGAGCCGTCCACCTCCAGCCAGACGCCGCCACCACGCGCACCACAGCAGCCCGAGCCATGATGAAGAGGAACAAGCGGGCAGCTGGCACCATGTTGCCCCCTTCATCCGAAAATTTTAAATATAAAAAATAAATCTGGGCGCACGAAAGGGTTGCTCATGTGATGGTGTGTGTGGGAGGGGGGG